AATAGATCAAGCTCGTTGGCATATGAACTTCTATCTAATATATAATAACCTAGATATTTATATATGAGAGAAGCTTCATTGTTAACTCGTTTGGATCTTTTCTCAGAATCTAACAAAGCTGATAGCAAACAGTGTTGATTCTAGTATGTAGTTAAACACGCTACACCTTTCTCTGCTGCTTCTTTTCTTCAACTCTGCTAAACTATTGCAAAAGGCTGGTTGGGGTGTTGTTACGTCATGAGGCTCCACTCCTCCCCATCTAGGCAGTCTCAAATCCAGATAATTCCTCCCCTGGACTGTAAACACTAATCCCCAGTCTCTCAGTGTAGCTAGCAGGGAGTTTAATCTCGACAATGTGTAGAAGTGCTTTTTTGCTTATCTAGTCTGCACTTTAAATAATGTCCAGAACTCAAAAAGGGATTTATTTCTTTGAGAGCTAAAGGGTCCCTGTCTCATCTTCTTGAAGAATCAACAGAAATGGTTGGATTTTATCTTTAGAAACTCTCAAAAACCTAGCCAGAATGTGACACAGACTACTTGTTAAAACCACCACAAATACAGTGGGATTTCACACAGAGTACCTCTTTAAACCAACACAATTTCAATGTTAAACCCACTCAATGAAAAGGCCAGAGCTGTAAGTACAACTAAAATTATAACTGCTAGCTGAATGGTTATAAAATGAAGCAGTTAGGATTAGCTGCATTTATTAAATGGCCAATAAGATGTGATATTCCATTTAAATATCAATTATCAATCTGATTGGTCTTTGAAGGTTTGATTTAATATTACTCTAGTTTCTTTGACTATTCAGGGAATGCACACTTCATAGGAATTCTGACAGTGTCAAGTATATAGTTTTATAAACATGAGTTTAATTCTATTTTTATAAACTAGTGATTATACAGGACAAAGTAGGAATCAAATGGTGGTTGTACGGGATAACAGATAATGAATGAAACAATGTAATGTAAGCTAGATGTTTATAGCAAAACTTTGTAAGTGTCTGTATTTTATCATATATTGTGCCTACCGTAAATAGCATGATACAGCCCATTTAAAGTCTGACACCTGGGTCTAAGGATGTCTCCCTGAGATCTGAGGCCACTCTTTACTCATGCACTGAAGCAAACATGCTTAGCAGTTTTTAGAATTTCTAATAAATGTGCCGGTAGCTGTCAGTCCTTGAGTCTGTTCATTAATTATTAAGCTGTTTCATCAACCACACCACTAATGACTTAGCAAACTCCCAACAGAGGAAGAAACTTTAATTTTCAAAATTGGTCAACAATTAGTTAGGCAGGGGACCTCTTTAATGAGGTAAACTTGAGACTTAAAAAAACTGATTAACCTCTTAGCTAATTTTGAAATGTAATTCTGAAAAAAACGCTCTTCAAAATAAAGCTCATCTTATTTAAGAATAAAATCACCTTGGGTTAAGGACTTTTGAGCAGTTTAATTTAAATATTTTAAGCCCTAGTTTGCTTATTAGACCCCTGAGTCAACAATAACTGGGCATATAAAATGGGATGCACACTTTAAACCAGCTATTTGTATCTTCAGATCTTGTCACAATATTAGCACCATCTTTCACAATTAACCCTTCTGTTGTGTTAGGGTCAAAATTGACCTGTTTTCAAGTTTAACTGTGCAAAAAGTACACTTTCCTTTTTTGTCCTGAAATGAGGCTTCATCTAATCCTCAGATACACCTATTTAAATGCAGCAAAATATTTTTTCACTATTTTAGTAAATTCTAAAGGTCTCAAAAAAAAAGTTATATCTGTGGTGTTACGGGTCCAAAATTACCCGGCAGAGAAAACTGGCTGTTGTATGCATCACTTAAAAGCTATGGGTTACTCTGAGGATCAGTTATGGCCCAATGTGCACAGTTATGGCCCACATCACCAACACACACACACACACACACACACACACACACACACACACACACACACACACACACACACACACACACACACACACACACAGTTCAAATTATGGTTTGTTTTCATTGTTTCCTGTGTTTAGATTATGGTTAATTCAGAACAACATGCCTGCGCTAACACCATATTATTTTCAATGTTCAGTTTATGGTCAATATATTGACAGTGTTGTTTATCATTGTTCAATTTATGGTTAAATTGTTGGGTTAATTGGTCTGGTTAAATAAAAGTTGGTTTCATGGAAAAAAAAATGACTTGTTGTCTTTATCCTACCATTCATCTATGCGGGTCCGTTTTGACCCGAAGCACCAAAAATGGCACTATTGTTGATAATTTTAAATAGTAAAAAAAATTATACATTTTTTTGGTAGGTGTACTCTAATATTAGTAACACATTTATAGTTTATTATTACTCATTCTATAAGAAAAATAAATATATTTAGTGAATTTAAACAGTGTCTGCAATCAAAAACGAGTGGTATATTTTAAAATACTGTGTCTGTGGAGCCAACGAAAAAACTATTCACATGCTGGTTCCATTCATATGAATACATACTAAGCCAGCAATTAGATGAAAAACAACATTTGAAGAAAACTGGTGATTTTAAGCATTTTTAAATCACAGGTGTAAACAGCTTTCTAACAAAAAATCACACCACCACCAAGTAGCATAGAAAAAAACGTGTCTTTTTACTTCATGAAATATCTGTTATCAGGAACACTGGAGGTCAAGATGAAGCTTAGTAAACTCAGAAACCTGTCAGAAAGATGTGGTTTCATGATGAAGACAAAGTCAAAACCACTGTTTGACTTTAAATGAGCTTGAGAACGTCTGAACAGGTGGTGGATTATTTTGCTCTTCAGTAATGCCTGCACATATTTGATTAATGTGTGAGAAGCATCAGAGGGAAAACCTTTTTAGTTACTTTGGCTCTGGGAAAAAAAGGTGAGCAGAATTTCAACAGCTCCTACTATTGCAGTAATCTTGGAGTGAAGAATTTATACAATCTCTGTAAGAATAAAAACTTAATTTGTTTTAAAATTTCTCCAAGATGTAAAACAAGGCAGGGTATGCATTGTTATTTGGCACTCAAGGCACACACCATTGGTGTTTGGGGCAATTTTAATTAACTCCACCCAAAATCCACCAGATGGGACTTTTTTAGCCATCTGGTGAGAGACAAATTTTAGAATCGTTGTCCTTTGCAAGAGGATGGGTCAAAACAAGTGTTTTATTTCATTTAGAAAGTGAAGAAAATTACTCCGTTCTTCATCAGCAGATAGATGGAATAAAAGGTTGAAGATGATGGACCACGAATCAATCCCTGAGGCATGCCATATTTGTACAAAGAAAAAGAAGACCTGATAATAATAAAAATAAACAAATAAACTTTTTTTGTAAAACAGGTATTCTAGGATGTTATCACTTTTCTACTAAACTTCATCAACAGGTCCCTTATTACTCATGGAATGATTCGTTTAATGTGAGTTTTTTTTACGTGTCTAAAAGTACATAAAAAGAGAAGCTCTCCAAGTAAACCCACTATATTAGACTTCTTATCATTTAAAGACCTTTATGATAAAGTTACGACCCACTTTAATATATCTTTGCTATTTTCCTTATTCCAAATATCCAACCGTCCTGGGGGTATTAAAGTCAAAATTACTTCCAAAATGTCGTCTGACTCTTGCCACAACCTCAGATTATTCATTTGATTCACAGTTCCTCAGGCCATCTGCAGCCACTGAGCCATCTCTGCTTTTGAAGAATATTGTGACTAAAGAAACGTTCGTCATTATGTCTACCAAATGTGTTGCCGAGTGGGATGTCACAGAAGGACACGCTGAACAAAGTGGAAGAAAAGAAAAATGGAAATGTGTACATAAAGGAAATCAAAAGACAAATTAAATGTTGTCTTCTTGTTTTGGAACAAATGAAAAGCAAGAGGTGATGGGTGAATTACTACATTATAATCATAACAATGACACAAAATACATATTTCATTTGAGCTCGGTTCACTTTGGGAATTAATAAATAAGGAACAAATCCCTCTTTGCAGATGGTGCCACATTTAAAATTCACAAGATCATAGGCTGGGAGACAAACAAAAATAATTAAAGGAGCACTTTGCTCTTCAACAATAAGCCAACAGCAGAGTCAAATAAATGACAGGAAAATGAAACTACTAAAACAACTTTACTGCTCTACTGTGCGCAATAAAACGTGATGATGACCTTGATTCCGCTCATTTCCGATGCATGGGGTCTAAATGGATGTACTCACTTTAGAACAAAAGGAAGTTATTCAGTTTTTATCAGTGTTCTATTGCATGAATGCAACCTTTATGGGAGAAATCTGTCTTTTTCATCCTTGCAGGTCAAATCCAGATGCATAAAAACTTCTCTAGCTCCACAGAGGCTGAACGTAAATCACATTGCTAGATTCTCCTGAGCCAGACATACAGGTGACTTCTCCAAATCCTCAGAGTATGTAATGGCTCAGATTAGAACCACTAACCTAAGTGCCATCAGGTAAATCCTTTGCTTTCACGAGGTCATTAACAGGGTTTTCATTGAACCCAGCGGTTGTTTGTCATTTGCAGAATGATCTTCTAAAAAATGACATAAAAAGTTGAATAAACACGGCAGAAATCCAGCAGTATTTTTTTATTCTACCATATGCTTTTAATCATCTTCTGTCTGAATGAATGTGTTTCATTAGAAAGTTTCTTTTCAAATTGTTGATATATAGCAGCATAAAGCAAATGCAGCTTGTGTTCAGGTGTGATAAGACGATGGTGAATAGTTGCAGTGGGAGAAATGTCACAGATATGATTCCCAAAGTAACCATGGTATGTAATAACTCAGTTAAAACATGCATTAACCCATCTAATACATATGTTTTATATCTTTTGCTTTTGTGAGTTTATTATTTTTTTACATTTCCTCTGGAACGTCATGCAGAGATTGTGTGTTGTGTAAAAGTTACTTCAGTATGATTATTAAAATATGAAAGCAATTCTATATTTAAAGGTCATTGCATGATGTTTCCTACCTTGCCAAGAAATCCCCTGAGCTTCCGTTCCTCTGCTGTGAATCCATACAGTTTGTAGTTCCAGGTATGAGTGCCATAGCAGGATTCTCCTGGGCAGCACTGCCCACTCCACGTGCAACAATCTCCAAAGAATCCTGAACATAGTGATCCAAAGAAGGTGATCCCTTGACCCCGTGGGCAAGCAGCCCCAGGGGTAGCCCCTCTGTCCTAAGCTCAGCCACGTTCTGGCTGTCCCCCAAGACCCAGTGAAACTCTGGGAGCGTCATCCGAGTGGTGAGCGCCCACAAACGACGCACTTCACGTATATCGCACCCAAACGTCACCACTCCGGTTGTGGACGAATGTTCTCTCAGGGCCTCCAGCTGCTGCATGAGAGTTTGCTGCTGGTCAGGTTTAGAGGAGGAATTGGATGCGTATGTTGAAGCTGTGGGCAGTAAATATGGTACGGTTTCCGCTCCCAGAGGGACTCCCGATGCCACTGCTGAGGATGATAGTGAAGATGAGGACGGTGGCAGGGGTGTTATTGTCAGATTGACGATATTGCCCAAGTTGAAGCGGGTGTTGTTCTTGATGAGGATGAGAAAGTCACTAATATTCCACTCCTGGCAGAGGACAATGCTGATGTCCCACCAGCCATTCATCATCAGCAGGTAGTAGAGGAGATGTGACGGTGGGGCCTCCATAGTCCGCAATGCCATTTGGAAATGCAGAGGATTCTGTGAGAGGGATTGGACGTAAATTAAAAGGATTGCAGCAGAAGACAAAAACAGTCAGTCAGATTAGATGCAAACAAATAATCTGAGAAACAACATGATTTGGAAAGGAGAAAGCAGCTTAGGCATCAAGAAAGTGAATGGAAATGAATGTGAGACGATTAAAAACAAATGTGTGATCAACAATAATGATGAAAAAGGTAATTGGGGTCAATCGTATTGTGCAGGATAACACATCAGAGAGCGGGGTTTGGATGGAAGAAAATTGTGAGGAAGAGCAGCAGAGAGATGCAGGGGTGGAAAGCAATGATAAGGAGGGTATAGGTTGTGGATGAATAGAATGATGCAGCACCAGAAGGGTAACATGAAATAATAGGATGAGCAAAAGAAGAAAGAAAGAGGAGAAAGACAGGAGGAGAAAAAAAATAGGTTTATGAATCCCACAAGAAAGTTACTTTGAATTCAATTTGTTCCTAAAGAAAAACTACAGTCTGCTGCTCCCATGAATATCATTACTCACACCATAAGTGGTACATCTATATTTATGTGTAAACTCAATTTTAAATGCAATTTTAAGAAATGCAAATAATCTCTGCTTTGGAATCCTGTTTTATGTGGCCCTTTTAATGTACGCAACTTTTGTTAAAAGGGACTGAGATTTCCAGAATTACACCAATAAATGAATCTCATAAATTTAAAGCAGAATCATTTTAGTGTCAACATGTCTAGCAGCAGATTTATTCACAACATTCTCAGAACAGAGACACTGTCTCTCTTTTTTATGCCTTTCTTAACACAAAATACATTTTCACCATTTAACAATAGAAATCACTGAACACAACTTAATGTGAAAAACGTTTTTGTAGGGAAATCACCTTAAATAATGTGAAATTAGTTTGATTGTGTAAAGGAACTAGACACCTTCTGGGGACAAAGATTATTTCATAAACAGACAACTGTTGACAGATGTATCTGTGATTAATCTGTTTAGTCATTCTCCTAAAATATTTTTTTCCTGAAAATTGTTAGTTAAAAGTAAAAAAAAATAAAATAAATGACATTATGCCCTGGAGAAGGTCATATGCAACCGGAACATATCGGCTCTTATAAGCTCAATAAATCACTGCCTTGAATCACCATTTTTTCTTCATCTTTATTTGATGAAACAGCACACATGTCTTTGTTGTGTAAAATTCAAATGGGAAAGCCATTTAATGTTGCATTGATAATGAGCCACCCACAGATTTTCTGAAACTCTTTTCTTCCGTAGGGTTGTGAGGAGCTTGTGTCTAAGGCCCTGTCCACACGTAGCCGGGGATCTGCCAAAACGTAGATATTTTTCTACGTTTTGGCCTGTCATCCACACGGAAACTGAGTTTTTTCACAGGAAAACGGATCTTTTTAAAAACTCCAGCCAAAGTGAAGATCTGCGTTTTCTCCGTTTTGGGTGTCTGCGTGTGGACAGACAAAAACGGAGTTTTAATGTCCGCAACGTCACTTTCCGCGACAAAGCAGTGCTGACATCACGTGTGCGACCTGTGTTTACACTAGCCGACAGCATGGAAGCCCTCAGAGCTGCGCTCTGTCACTACCCGATCCATCAATTGTCCAAGCGCTTTCTGCTTGTTTGTTTTTGCAAGCGGAATTACTGCTCCTTGCGGAAGACCACAGACGAAGGACGAGGTTAAGAACGGGGGGAGTACTGCCGCCTACAGGTCTGGCATGTCCTTAACAACATATTTATCCGGGTATGTGTGGACAGAGTTTGTTTTTAAAACGAGGTGGTGTGGATGCAAGTTTTTGGAGGGGTGGATATTCGTTTTTAAAAAACCCCGGCTACGTGTGGACTAGGCCTAACTCCAGCAGCTGGGCAAGAGGAGTGGAGGAGCCCCTTGGACAGGAGTTCATCACAGGGCCACATAGAGATAAAAACATGTTACACACTTGCTCATGCAGACAATTTAGGCTTGCCAGTCAACCTGAAATGCATGTTTTATAGAAAGCTATTTTACCTATGTGCAAAATTACCACAGCTGGAAATTGAACCTTCAACTTCCTTGCTGTGAAGCAACAGCACTACCAACTGCTTCTGCTTCACAATCCATCTCTGTATTAATATTTGTTTAATCTTCATCATATGGTAAATTAGTAGTTACATGTATAAAGCTCAACAGCCACAGCTGGTTTCTGTACTTCATCGAAGTTTTAAAGGTGCAATTTGTAAGAATGACATCATGTGGTTATATGTGATCACTGCAGTCCATTTCTTAAGCTAAAATATTACGCTCTCACTTTCGTCCCATGAGTTTCTTGGCTGTTGCCAGTCACGGATCAGCACCAGAAGAGATGCCATGGAAAAATGAGTCAAACACAGTAAGTTGATTAGTAGATAAATACATGGCAATATCTGGTGTTAGCACTCTTGGGTGTTTTACGGCAAGGAGAACATACTACAATTATTATGGTAATAGGCCTGCAACATTAAAGCAAGTGTGGTTTGATGTCTTGTTGTTAGGTTGCTGCTATAGTTCTGAACGACTCATTAAAGGAAGTAAAATGCCACGGTGGTCTCATTATTCACTTCACACATACATTTCACTGAATATTGAGTTATTGGTAATAAAACAAGTAGCTTGAAATGTTTTAAGAGCAGTGTTGGGCAAGTTACGTCAAAACTGTAATGCATTATTTATTACTTGTTACCCTCATTTTAAAGTAATTCATTACATTACAATATTACTGATTTTAAAATGTAAGGCATTACTGAACTTTTGCATTACTTTAAGTTACTTTCACCAATACAACTTCAATATGAATATGGTAATCTGACGCTCAGTGAGCTCATGTCATATATGTGGAAAGTGATGTGGTATCTGAGCTAGGATTGCTTTTAAAAACAGTCAGATATAATAACAGTGCTTTAAAATGATTGTTTATTAAATAAAAGCAACAACAATCTGTACTCTCAGCACGCTGCCATCTAATAGGGCCATCTGAGCAGGGAGTGCGGTGGTGGGGGCTCCAAGCCTATTTGCCTTGGTCCGCAAATGCCTTGATATGGCCCTGGATGTGGTACCAACTTCTGGGGTGATCTGATTCTATCACATGTTTAAAAATTAAATGATTATATATATATATTATTGCTTTTCACTGGTAAAAATGTGTATTTTGGGATAAATCTACCTACTGTTTTTTCTTTTCAAGCACTTTGTTTTGTTTTCTTGATTTTATTTGAATAATTTCCTGCCCTTTCTCTCTCTAACCTTCCTGCATGCTGCATGTTTTCTCCGTCTTCCAGAAAAACTGTTTCCTAGATTTCCTACTTTATAACTAATCAGCCAAAGGGATCTACCGAATGCAAAAAAAAGAAAAAAAAAAGCTTCATATGCGCTGCGCTCTAGCGGCAATGAGCTGAAATCACTGGGGCACAGATTATGAATTCAGCTGAAAACCACATGAAGCACCAGAGAATATGGGCTGATATAAATGATCGCAAACAAATTACTTTGTTTTGGTGGAGCGATTTTGTGAATATAACAGCGGCCACACGCAGGACGCAGCTGGAGTATTTGAGCCATTACCGCTGCATCCTCTCTGCTCATAGAATGCCCGCAAAGCTGAGTCCATAAATGACGTAATATATGTAGATATTGGATCTTTTTTCAGGCCTCCCGCAATTTTAATTTTTAGTGAACCCACATCTTGATTCTGGGTTTAAAAATGTATTGTTACATAAAAGTGCGTTACTGACATTTGTACTGAGTAAATATTACCATTTTCTTTCCCTGTAATGCCTTACATTACCACATTACAGCAAAAATCAATTTAAAGTAATTAGTTACTTTTGTACCACGCTACTCCCAACACTGTTTAAGAGTCAACTATTTGCTTCCAATTCACCATTAGCATTGTTAGCTCAATGTTAGCCGTTTGTCTATTTCACCCGACATTAGAGTAAAACTAAAAGGTGCTGTGGCTTTTTTGGAGGCTTTGGTTTGTTTAACAACTCGGAAGCTTTTTGCAAAAGTCTGCGCAGCTGCATTAGCTCACTGCAGATTCCACAACCTCACTTGTGTTGTGTACATAGTAACTACCGTAAATTCTCTAATACAGGCCCAGGCCTTTATCTACTCAAGTGAATCCTGGTTAAGGTTTTTAATGGAAGGAGGCCAGTAATAGAGGCATGCCTCAGTTTCAATTTGAACAAAATTAACTACCAGTAGAATGAATAAAAACAAGATTTTGTGTTTGAGCATATAAAACACTAGGTATATTTGTTGAAAATGTATAGTTAACATTGTATGCATATAGAACATTTACAACAAACACCGTCATTTCAGGCTAAATCCCCGTATGGTAACAAATGTAGCAAAAATGCTGGTAGTGCATTGTAAACACTTGGTGATATTAGGTTATTGATTCACAACAAAATGCAACAGACACCTTTCCGCTCCAAAGTTTAACCATTCGTGTTTCGTTTGGTTTGAAGTAAAAAATAAAATCTTCCAACTGTTTAATCCTCATCCTCCGTTTACCTTTAGTGGCTAGCGGTAATATCCAGGTGGATGGTGGCAAGTATGAATAAAATTGAACACATCAGTTTTACTTTTCTGATGGCTCCCAGCACTTTCCCTCAGCACTTTCTTAACAAACATCTCTGTCACTGCCACTCATTGTGACACTCATCCATCCTTCTGCCAACAACTGGAGGGAAAGTAAGCCATCCCTTTATTAACTTTGCCACTGATTTCACAATGGTGTCACCTGTGGACACACAGTCTAATTCGCTGCAGTTCCACGTTACAACACTGAGCTAACTGCTGAAAACATTAGCACTCTACAAGCTATTTGCAGTGAGGACACATGAAAACAGTATGAAACTGTTTACCTACTGATTTTGTAGCCGCGTTCCTAAGCTGTTTAATAAAACACTATAAAAAACCTTTAGTAAACCCTTACCTGTGAAGTGATCACTGCAAACTGTAGCATTTTCTGTTCCGTTT